GTTGAAGTGGCTTAAAGGGCTGAGTGTATTTGAAGGGATGGGGGGTTTGATGGGCTGAGAGGATTTGAAGCGCTGCCAGAGACCCATAACACATCAGGGCTGATGTGTTATCTTCATTAGAGCGCTACCAAATGAACAAAAAATAATTATTAAAAGTTGTACTTCTGATGATGTTTTCGGTGAAGAAAATACTGCCCATTTTCTGAGTATGTGTGCATTTTTGGTCGTTTGCTCCTACTTATCATCACGAGCTTCAGCATTCTTGATTTTATTTCCTAACACAACTGGCACCTGTCATTCCAGACGCCGTGAATCGTAAGTTCCACGATGCCATCTCCTGGCGGAATGCAATGGACCTCCTTGTGAAAGTCACGTGCTGATGGTTCAGAGATATTAGGACACTTGACGACGACAAAACACGTAGTACGGATAATTTTGGAGGTATATAACTGCTTATGACAGTAGTGACACACACCCTTTAAAATTTGATGGTGATGTGCTTATTTGACTGCTACTCTGTGGAATACCATCGCTTTCAACGGACTGAAATTCTTTACATGGATGTAGAGTAGCGTAGTTCTTTATTTGCTCAATCGATAGCAGTGGCGGAAGGCGCCAATTGTTCGAATTTTAAGTATTTTGCCGAAATCTCATAATTTGTGTTGTGTAAAAGGAAAACTTCACGCTTCCTAATGTGTTTGAGGCGAGAGGAAAAACAGTAGTGTAATTATTGTTACAGGGAACACATTTAATGTTGTCCCTACTTTATATGCAAAAACATGTCACACAAACATAAATCCTGTTAGAATATAAGTAGAATTTGGAACATTTTTATGCTGGTATCTGAGAAATCAACCTTTGAAGTTAGTGTCTACATTCATCCCATTTTTTAAATGTTGACTTCACCAAAACTTTAAAGAAAGTGCTAGCAAATTCTGAATTTCAATTCAACCAGATTCTAGCAGTGCACTGTCTTATAATAAAAACCCAACCAAACAGGATTCCGTCGAATATTTTTACGTTTAAGTGGCTAGGCATTGTATTAGTTCAGAGGTGTAGCGTGAGAGACACCAAAATATATTCCTTAAGTAAACTGAACAGGTGATAATCGAACATTTTATTGCAGTCATCTCAAACGAGAAACCGCCAACATGTCATAATGAAGCTTGAAGTTTCTCTAGCTGCCCAGATTATTCCACGATAAATGTACTCACGACATGAAGCATTTCTGTGTCTTGGAGCGCGGATCAACACACAGTCTCCCGAAATACGGTTCATGAATGATTTGCCTTGCTCGAATAAACCAGTAATTTTATCTTTATTACTCCTGAGCACAGTTTATTCAGTGGATTATCTTGATCCCCATGGCCGCATTAAAATAATCCCTATTAGAGACTTTTAAATCCTGATAGTTGTCTTTGTGACTACTGTGAATCTGACCAAAAAAGCTAGTGCGTTATTGATTTCTTTCTTCTTTTTCTGTTCTGGACGCAACGAAAAAGGAGAAAAGATTTACAACATTTCAAAAATAGTAGTGTGTAGGTCAGCCCTTACAGAATATGATCAGGCTACTTCTTATCACAGGATATTCAAGCTCTCTTCTGGCATCACACGTGAAGTTCAATGTCAACTATAACGCATATAGACTAATAGCTACAACGATGAACATTATCGAGCAGAGAATGTACATACTTACAGTGGATTGCTAGGCATGTTACCTACGGTAACAGTACGAACAACGCACGACACAAGGTCGTTTTTATGATGGGTTGTAGGCAATCATTTGCAGTGTTAATGCGTCTCTGAGAAAAAGAAAAAAAAGAACGGGAAATATTGTAGCCCCAAAATTATTTTGCCGACAGTTTGTGCAGTTGAAAGGTAACACAATTTTTTTTTCTTGATGAGGGGGCGTTGAAGTAGAGGACAAGTTCGGAGAGCTGTGGTTGCTGCCGGGGCCGTCTGCAAAAAATATCGAACAAAAAATGTTACATAGCTAAAGAAGCGAGAGTTTTTTTTTTTTTTTTGTCTCGTATCAATATCGCTAATGTACCTTACAATAGATAGACCTGCCGTATTGTTATGGTGCTTGGAGCGCGTCTCCGACTGGTGTGTTCAGCGTCCTATCTCGCCCGTACAACAAAAGTGGTATCTAAGTGGCAACAAATGACGTCATAAAAGCCGGAGTGTCATGCTGTCAGATGCTGCGATCCTAGCGATTCATCGTAGAAATGCTGGCAAAAAGCACGAGCGAACGCGAGTGTCGCTGTCGTCGAGGCGTCCCAACTTCTGGCTGCCGAAACTTCCGTGGGCTGCCACACTGTAGAGCGACCTGCAGCGGAACAGCCGTCTGCCTAATACACAACCGCTGTTGGGACGCCGCCAGGATCAGGACCGGCGATAGCATGAGACTTGTACGACGTCATCAGGCGGAAATCGAGGGACTATCTTTTCGGACGCGGTAATCACACTAGTCGGAGTACAGGGTATTTATTATAATGTACAGGTTTTTTTTTTTTTTTTTGTACTGCCAAAATAAACTACCCATGGCCAAACGCTTATTCTCCGCCGAAAGGTAGCGCCAGAGGTTCGAACCAGATGCCAAAGCTTCAGCCCGATCCGATGCCCTAATCAAATGTTATAAGTGATTTTCTGAAAATTTCAATGAGAAAATGGGGCTCATTTTCGGTTGTTTTCGGCTTCTGGAGCAGAAGAGCACGATGTATTCGAGAGCTGTTTTGGCTACCATATTCCCATTGACATGTTCAGCAAACAATTTATAAATTTTAAATGAAATATTGGTTGGCGCTCACGTTTTTGTATCTGGTTCCTACCTCTAGCACAACCTTTGGACGGAGAATGAGAGTTCGGCGACGCATAGTTAATTTTTGGGGTAGAAAAAAAAATTATTTTTTTTTTCTGGAGGGGGGGGGGGGGAGGGCATTTTATATTATAGAGATAAACAATCTGATTAACGATAGTTGTAGGAGGTGAACTGCAACGACGCTTTACTCTTGCAAGAAAATCACGAAAATTGCAAAACCTAGAAAAATGGTATTTCCCTCCCAAACGTTGACAGGACGAATGCATCGAATGCTTTCATTGTGGACGTCATATCAACGTTTAACTGGGATGTAGGTATTCACAAGATTGCGGGCTTCAGAACTGGAGCGACAAGCGTGTGGACACGTGACGCGATAGCGCGGCCTTCACAAGACGCCACAACTCAGTCAGACCAAGAGGGGAGATGCCGCAGAGTTAGCAGCTGGACAACTCTGAGGCAGCTGCTGTTTTTGAAACGCTCTACAGAATTTTTTTTTTTTTTTCACAGAATGTTTTTTTTTGCTGAAGGCGAAGACTGGAAATTATTACTTAACTCACGTAATGACAAGTGCAGGGCGTGCTTTTTCAAACAGCCTGCCTCCAGCACGCGCTTCATGCCTCTCGCCGTTCTTTGACTGCGCGTGCACGGTCGTAATGCACGAGGCGCCGTCGTGTTGTCGAATATAGGAAGCTCGCCCTCGAGGCAGAATAACATAAGTTCCTTCGTGGCGTTCTCATCATTTCCGTGTTCTACAATAGGCGCGTGAGGTATTCAACACGTCACACAACCACCCCAGCAACCTAACCACATAAAGACTGCTGTCCATGGCAGTTGCAGTTTTATACTAACGATCGGGTCCATCAGGGTTCGTCTTAATTATTGTAGTTTCTATTTCTTTCCTTGTTTTATTTTTAAATGAAAGATGGCGCAAATTACGTTATTTATTAAGTCGAATAATAGATCATTCCTTCGTCACATACACTCTAAAAAAAAAGGTGTAGCTTTTACACCCCATGTCACATATTTGACACCCCAAAACTTCAGTTCGACATACAGCGCACTGAGGTTGAACCGAAGGTACCAACTTTCACGAGCGGCTTGATAGCCGAGTTGTTCAAGTTATTAAAATATCTAATGCACGTATAACTCAATGCAAAAAAAGTTTTCGGGGTTTTCTGGGCCCTACTGCGAAAACCTCAGTGATTTTCTTTTGAAGTCTTTGATAAGTACTTTAGCTGTTGAATATGTTGTATCCAACCGTCATCAAGCCTCTCGTAAAAGTTACTGCCGTCATTTCGATGCTATTGCGCTGTACGTCAAACTGAAGTTTTTGGGTGTCAAATTTGTGACAAGGGGTGTAAAAGCTACGCCTTTTTTTTTAGAGTGTAACTACTGCATGGAAGACCGCAAGACAGATGGTGAAGACGCACTCGACGGAAGCTTCATGCTTGCACGGAGCGTTTGTTTGTGACCGACTGCTTTACGACTTGTGCAGAGCGCAAGTTCGTCTGCTTCTTTTGCAGGGGTTGTGGTGACGTCAAAAGGCCGAGCTTTGATTGCTTCTGAATGAAGGATAGAGGGTAGACCTGAAGGCAGCTTGCTTGAAGGTCTACCCCCTATCCTTCAATCAGAGGCAATCAAAGTTCGGCGTCTTTTTGGCGTCACCGCAACTCTTGCGCAAGAAGCAGGGGACTTGCTCGCTGCATTACGTTCCACCGCGGCGCGTTCCGCGGAGCTCGGTTGTCATAGCAACCGTGTCGCCATAAGCAGTGAAAAGCACTCGCAGCATACTTGCCCCATATTTTCCCTATACGGAGCATACTTGCACCCTTGGACTCAAATGTCTGAGCAGGACTTGACGGAGGTGGCAAACGCTGTGTCGTTGCACTCTTTGCGGAGGGGAATGTACTATACACCGTTTCACCTTAAGTTCAGACGCACCGACGGTACGAGCTTAAGGGACCATAGCGTCGAAAGGGTACCATCATGATGTTCGTCATGTTTCTGCACGTGTTCTAGTATCGTTGAACCAATCTCAAACCGAAAAGGCCTAGTGACTCGCGCATTTGACGCTACTTATTGATCACATTGCCTCTTAGCGTTCGCTGCGTCTGGACTCAAGCTGAAACGAAGTATAGTTGTCGGAAGAACCGTTAACGAACTCGGACTCACCCTTAAGTTTCGTGTAGTCACGTTGTAGTTTCATGCACGACCGTGATGCAGGCTGTCTTCTGCAGGCCATATCTTTGACTTCCTGGGACGAACAGCACTTTAATGACTTTCACCTATATTTTCTTATACTGCTCGACACCTTTTTTTGGTGTTTGTACTTGCGAATTGTAACCGGAACACTTGATAACGCACACATAGATTACATTTTGGAGTTTCCACTCGGAAAGTAGCAGCTCATAGAGTGTCCGCTAGGTGGGATGTCTCTTGAAAGAGCGCTGAAGCGTTGCGAAGAATTTCTTGCCGACGGTAGCCATGGTTTCTTCATGATGGGTGAAGTTTTTTGTACAGATGAGCGCAATGGGACACATCATGGACGGGTAGTGCGGTTGAAAACCTCGGCTGCGTGAAACAAAATACAGATACGGGGTGAGAGAAAAGGTTTTCTGACAAATTCAAGCATAATCAAATAATATGATATTGAAGACATGGTGTTATGTTTACCCACTCTCGTATTTTTACACAGTTTATTTCATCTTTAGTTAGTCATGAGCAATTCGAATAAATATGATTTTATGTTCAGCGAACTAACGAATTAAACACAAGCCAATATTGACGTTTATATAAGAAACAAAAATACCAATAAAACTTTACTAACGCTTGATTGCTGGTTTTTGTTTTCTATCCCACCAGTGAGGTAGAAAGTAACAAATAGTGCATAACACTGCAAAAACGCTTAAATATTCAAGATTTGACGGCATTGAGAATGCGGTAAAATATTGGCATATTTATGTGATTATACACATATGATCAGGGTTCTGTAGAGACACTAAAGATAAGCCGCGGAGGTGTAAAGAACGAAATGTGCCGAACTATCTGAAGGTGAAGAGATATTCAAAGTTTTAATATGATCACCAGTAATTGTTAAGACAGTTACACACTGTGCCTACACTTATGTCTATTTTTTACAATATGCTATTTAATTGAAGGCAAACAAGACAAGACTAATCATGAACTTGAATAGGCGTGATGATTTGGACAGAATTTAGTACCAGCTAGGGCTAGGCGTCATTAAAATCTTAACCAAAAATTACGTTATCATTTATTTGGGTTTTTAAAGCCACTTACAAAATTATAACGGCAAAGATGAGCTTCCATTGTCACGCCTAATGAGCGAAGATCCTAGCTTCCACAGCGCTTGGGCGTCAAGTGCGCTTCGAGCGCTGCGCGCACAGCCATAGCACGACGGAAAGCATGGGGCGCTTTCCGCCGTGCTTTCGACGCCTTCCACCGTGATTTCTGACGCTGGGCGTTCAAAGTACACGCCCTGCCGTTTTTGTCTGCGTAAATGAGTCGTGTTAGTGATTTATCGTTTGAGTTGACCACAAGGCATAAGACTTCCAAAAGAAGTGAATTGTTTTAAATTAAATATATATATTTTTATTGGGTCATAAACACGCCATCGCGAACTCATTTTTTACATACAGCCTGCTATGAGGCCAAAGCAGGTTCGTAGGCAACTAAAAACTACGAACACTTTTCAGTATTAGAAATGTTAGCAAGAAATCACACGCATTTTCAGTGTAAACAACATACGTGTATAGTCAGTTCAATTCATCGATATGTTTAACAAAGAAAAAAATAGTTCCTAAATTAATTAGTGTTGAAACGATGAGGCACAATACATTTGTTATGCGTCGTTCTATTCTGTTTCTGAAGTTTGAACACGTAACATATACTTGTGAATATGAATAAAATAATCGCCATGCAGCAATTAAAAAAAAATTTATTCAGTCGAGTGAACATTATACTGGTTTACTTATGGTCAAACGGTTCGCATCGGACTTCAGTGGGGAGACACCTGTAAGTCGATTGCGTCCGTAAATAAATCTGACAGCTTTACTCTCTAATGGTTTTATTTCGGGAATGCTTTGTTGTGTAAATGGTTCCCAAAATGTGAATGCTTATTCAACCGTTTGTGATATCACTGATATGCTTTTAATTTGAGCTCTGGACCGGCAAATTTCAACTTCCATCTAAGTGTCCATAATATTTGTTTTGGCACAAATTGGAGATATCTTTTGTGTGTGCATTCCAGTCCAGATTTGATTTCGAAAAAGAACCTTGGTGTTTGTAATCACGTGCACATTTTAAAAGAATAGCCTCAACACTTTTGGTGAACTGTGCATGTACTTTGTTTGCGCTTTGTTCATGCATACTGTTTTTTTTTCTTCTTTTTTGCATCACACCATGCTTGTCAATTTCTAAAAATGCTCATTTAACGTCTTCTGATCATCGGATGTTTGTATTTCTGAATATGGAAATTTATCGTGGGCAAAATGTTTAATTTTAACGCGGCCCGAGAACAGACTTCTGATGCGCTCACAATATATCAGATAAGTTTCCTGACATTGTACTAATCGAGTGCGCGAAATATTAGTTCTTTCTAAACCTAGAAGCGAAACTAATAAATCTATTTCCAGAAGAAATATGGTCATTCTTGTAAATGTGTAATCAGATTTGTCAAGCTGTACTCGGTAAAAACAAATGTAACGCGTCCTAAAAAAAAGCGTAAACATATCAAATGCGACATACTTACTTTTTCCTTTGTCACCCACACTTCTTTTTACGTTAAAGACAAGCTATTAACCTACTCAAAATATAACGATATTTACAAAAAGTAAATATATAGTGATCGATCTTTTAATCAATGAAGTGCTCATACCTAGAAAGAACGTAGTTGGAGCTTTCGGAAAAGCAGTTGTCCGCTAGGCGGTAAAACAACCGGCTGTCAATTATGATAATAACTTAGTGCGTGCGTCATCTACCTTCTATTAAGAGAAAGTTGAGGGACCTATAACGCATAAAATAAGTTCATCATCTGAAATGATCTAGAAAATTGCTACGTTCAATTACCTTCATGCGAATTACAAGATCACCAAGTTTATAAGTTAACTGCGCAAGAGGTCCACCCTGCATATTCTGGACCATCGGAAGCCATACGCAAGTTATATCTTTCATCAAAAAGCGGAGGTAGAGAGAAAAAAAAACTGTATTTATCAATGTGTTAACAATTGTACAAAATGAGGTTTAAGACGTATGGACGAATAGGCAAAATTTAAACGTTTAGATCAAGAACCATATATAGGGTGTTCGATTTTTAACTTCATCTTGAACAAATCTTTTTTTTAAGAGAACAACGTAAAACAAAAAAAAGAAAAACGTTAATCCGGTTTAGGCTTTTTAGTTATATGCCTCGGAGAGCATAATATATGGGGTTCATTGTCACAATGAGCTAGAGTGTGATAATCAACTTTCTAATTATTTAAAATAAACACGTTTCGGTTAGAAACTGGCTGAGCATCATCTAACGCCACTAAATTGCTTAATTTTGGAAACATTTTAAGCATGGGGTAAGCGTGAGGTAAGGCTAGAGGTTCCACTCGTGCAAAAGGCGCAACGCCCGCGGTTTGAAAACACGGATGAAAAGCCTTATTGAAAAATCTAATTTGCGTGAGAAATTTCAGTGTCAAATAAACACATATGAATCATACAATATATATAAGAACATATATAACCATATAAGAACTATTTGAGGTATATAAGAACATATAAGAACCATTAGAATTTTGTTATAAGTTTCTTACATGGTTCTTATGTGTACTTATATCTTTATGGTTCTTATACATTTCCTATGTTTTTATATATTTCTTATGATTCATATGGTGTTTATTGGACACCAGGCATTTCTCAAAGAAATTAGATTTTTTACTAGAGAGGTTATTCGCGTTTTCAGAACACTAGAGTCGGGCCTATCGTTCGACTGGAAACCTTATCTTACCCCTGCGCTTATTACGTGCCTCACATTTGTTTTCTAAAATTGATCGAGTTAGTGGTTTTATATGACTGTCATCAAATTTCTTAGTGGAAACATATGTTTGCTTTCACTAAGTAAAAGTGTAATTACAGAATGTTAGATATTTATTTACCTACCTGTGACAATTATACCCGCGTGTTATGCCTGCTTGTCAGTTTAACTTACCTGCAAAGGCCTCATTATTTTGCCTTTCACGGCTTTTTTTTTAACTAAATCTGTTGGAGTTTTAATCATCCGCTGTAAAAAATAGAACGTCAAAAAAAAGAAAAGAAAAAAGAAACGAGCGCTACAAGAGAAAACAAGCAGCCATTAAGGTTTCATTCATATCCTAGCGTTTTTTTTTTTTTAAGCATCTTGGATACGGAAACAAATATAAATTATTTTATCCCATGGTTGTTATAGGATCCGCAAATGGCAACCCGTAAGATCGTGCCGCGAACTCGGAACATATTCGTACTATAAAGCATGACTCTGAGAACAACTCAATCATTGAACAGGCCCAGCACATTATGAACCAGTAAGTACCTATTTCAACTCCTCGTAATCCCCGAGTCAGCATTTGGTTCGAACATCTTAGTTGCATAAAGGAAAAGCGCTACTTACTGCGGACATAGTTTACAGCGTTGGGCAACGAGAGGATGGGAGCCATTCAGGGAGGAGTTTTGATCTGGAAAACAGAGCAAGAAACGACAATTGGCAAGTATATCAGCCTATTAAATATTAAAAAAAGAAAAAAACGCGAACATTCTACGCGCTAACAAGGAAGGCACGAGCGCCGCAACATCTCTTCTGAATGGTCGGTCGTTCTTTCACGCTGTTTTTACGGAAGGCAACTACGGATCAGGTCTATATAGTAGCTCCCTTCCCACACAAAGTATTGCACGCAATGTTGTGATAAGAAAAGTCGAAAAAAATTATTTAAGCCGGTAAAAGTATACGTTCCGCACGAAAGTAGGCAACTGTATTTCATAACGCGCCACACATTTGATTGTGTGAGGCTATGGCCGCCGGGATGCCACCTGAGCCTATTGCAACACAAGCCACATTCAAGGATGCACAATATACATCAGTGCAGACGCCTCGAGCGAATTGTGCTAGGCACTCTAAACACCGCCCTAGCAGGAATAGCCTTATTAACTTCACGGTATGGTTAACGAATCCTCAACCTGCCCCAAGGAGTAGACACGCTGAAGATCGACAGGCAGCCACTGGGGCAGATGCTTGTGTCTTGGCGTCACCTCGCGCTGTCGTTCCGTTCGACGTGGGACGCAATAGACCCAAAAGGCAAGACGTACACGTCCCCTATACCGTCGTCACAAAAGAAGCGCAGGCTATAGCTTGCGTTCGCGACATTTGAAATGAGTCCCTAACGCATTGGAGGCGTTTCACAACGGCCACAACGCTGGCACGCTTCGGTGTGTTCTCAAATGCAGGAGGGTGTAGGCGATCCAAAAAAATGGCGGCGTAATATGCTGTGAGGTGACTGCAACGCGTTTCCTAATGTAGTCACAGACAGGATAAGAACGGAAGGGCGTGTCTTTTGAATACCTGATATCCACCAAGTGCTCCATGGCTTCTGCCGTGCTTCGGCCACGCGCGCGTGCGCTCAAGGTGCACGGGACGCTGAAGCATTCTCGAAGGTAAAGGACGTTTGCTGTACGCCGTAGAACTGAAACCCCTTTTTCACCTTGCCAGAAAAAGTGCGTATGGCGCGCCCTCTTTTCTAGTTCCTCGATTTCCGCCAGATGACGCCACACTTTGCTATCTTGGCTGCCATTGATTCTGGTGCTGACACAGCAGCGGACGTGGAAGCAGGAGACGCCTATTCTAATGTTGGTCGTTGTTCATGTTGACAGTTCAAGGTAGCTTCAAATGCCCAGAGCCGGTATGCCGAGACGACAGCGACGCTTGACTTTGCCGCTTGTTCTTGAAATACGGTAACAATTGAATTCGAGGCAGCATGCTTATATTGCCTAGATTCACAAAAGCAGGATTTACTACTGCTCTGAATTATCTATGTTAGTATGGCTTTACTACTTCAAAGTGAATAAACCTCACAAAATGAGACGTTTATGCGCTGTGAAGTACTAAAACATAGAAAACCAACTACCCCAAGCTGCGGTGTTAACAGGTTAGGATAGTGTTTTGCATTACTCTCTTTAAATTTCCAGAATAACATTTTTTTCTTGGCGGGAGTTTTGATTTTGTATGACGACCTTATCAGGAAATATATTTTCAAATTTGTCCAAAATTAACAATATTAAGTTAAATTTGCAAATTTACAGCATCTCATATGCATTTATTTAGTAGCTTGGACGTCGAATATGCGCTCCTACGCACCGTCCATGAAAATCAGCGATCGTAAAAAAAGACCGTCGACAAAATCCCAGCCGACGAATTCACCGCCATCAACTCATCATTTCGCCAATGAAAGCTTCCGTGTAAGTGGTTAGGCAAGTTCTCCAACTTAACGTGGCCAGTGAAGCGGCAGCTGCACCCTAGAAACTAGCTCCCCATAAGGCTTAGAAAAATCAGTGTGAACCATCGATATACATACATAACGTGACACCATTAGCGAAAAAAAAAAGCAATCGCGGTTTCTTTAAGTTTTGTTTTAACGCGGAGAGGCCACCACCAAAAGTACTACAGTGCGATCAAAATTTCTCAATGAGTCAGCTTGTCTATACTTTATTTCGCAATAGTCCAACCGCAGCCCACGTGAAAATCGGATGTGCGATTCAAGCAGCCTCAAAAGTGCATTATCGTGGCACTCGCTTTCTATGTGCGTTTTCTGTGGATGGCTAAATAATTCACGTAAAAAAAAAACAAGGGCAGGATCACGACGCAGTCATAGTGCGTGAATGCCTGAGCCGATGATGTCAAACCTGCCAAGACGAGTGCCACAACGATACGTTTTTGTTGTTCCTCGATTGGAGACACCGGATCGTATCGTTAGCTGTGGCCGAACTTCATATGAAAGGAAGTATAAGGCCCGTTCACACACTTGCAACCCAGTACGACCGGGAGAGACGAGACCTGTTGAAACCCCCAAACATTTCTTAGGACGAGAGAAGACACTGGCATCCTGGCGCCATCTGTGCGTTGACCCTGTAACGGCATTTCACAAGAGTGAAGGGTTTACAGGATTTCCGAAGTCAAATGTACGTAATACCTATGAGAAAGGCTCGTTTATAACACTGACAAAAGTTTTTCGAGCTAAGAAAGAAAGGATATTGCGCGAGAGAAAAAGAAAATATGCCGGACCGCCAAGTTTACACTGCTACCCAATAGATGGCGCCAGTGTGTCCTCTCGTCGTAAAAGATTTTAAGAGTTACCAAGGAACTCGCTTCAAAGAGGTCGCAAGTGTTCGAACAAAAAATAGGAAGTAAGAGAAACACACCGATTTATTAGTAAAATGCAAAACAATATCGGCTATGTTGTGTCTTTGTTGCAAGGTTCGTCTAATATGTTCTCTCGTCGTAAGAGATATTAAGAGGTTCCAAGACACTCGGTTCAAAGAGGTCGCAAGTGTTCGAACGAGAGTTAAGTAAGATTAACACAGATCTGTTAGAAAAATGAAAAAAAAAGCGGCTATGTTGTGTCTTTGTTGCAAGTGGCGTCTAATATGTTTGGTGTCTCACTTACACAGCCAGTAATTAAGTATGTTTTGTACTTCATTTCGGCTCACTTTGATTGGCACGGACGCATACGCCAGAGGTTGCCCACGGTCCTTTACACGGCGGCAGAGGCGGACAAAAGTATTCCCCTTCTAACTGAAATCCCGAAAACGGTTTTACTGATCCCCTTAGTTTCCTGAAAGGCTAGACTGAGTTCGACTCGTCTTGCAATGCATGCTACAGACATGCAGAAATCTAGCTCCCTACGAATCTGAAAAGATTTGCGAAACAATGATGTGTGCCGAAACGAAGTCCGTATCCCGTTCCCTTGTATACAATTGGGTGCTTCGCGAATTTACATTTCTTTTTATAAGTAAGCTTTATTTCCCGGAGATGCAAACTTCCTCCGATGAAAAGAACTTCTATTTTATTTCTTCAGACTCGAAAACATTTGACACAATACGATTTTTGTTATTTCATGTCTTCCTCTCTTTCAATCTTTCTGTCGTTCTGTCTTTCTCAAATTAAAATCGCGGTCGCTTTTAGCCGCTGCCCAGGACAAGATTCCGTAAATTTTCAAATTTAATAAAGCGTCGGCACGATAGCTTTGTTTATTTTCAATAGAAAGACTTCCGGCGGGTTGTCACGTGACCAGAGACGCAGAGCAGACGCCATTCTGTTGTCCGCTGTCGTCACATGTTCAGCTATTAAAATGTCGTTGCGCCAATAAAAAAAAAAAAAAAAAAAAAAAAAAAAAAAAAAAAAAAAACGAACGTCTTGCCGGCGTCATCATACATGCGCTGCACCTCATTCAACAGACAGATGAAGTCTCGATCCGCTCGATATCGTGAAACGCTTTACTTAATAACTTATGGAAAAGCACGAGCAGAGTGTCCTTTGGAAACAAGTGAGACAAGTTTCTAAAGTCGTCGATGATGCCGGAACTTAAAATATACCGTTTTCTTTTTTCTGATTTCCTAAAATTTCAAAAAAATGCAAATCGATGAAAGTCCTCCTCCATAGTTTGCATTTTGAAAACGACGTAAACCATTGCGGTGTTCAAAACACCCGCCATGTTTTGGGGCAGCTGTTTATCTCCGTAATACTCAACTTCACAAGCATCTGCACTGTTGAAGAATGAACGGGCGCAACCGCGCTACTTTGAAAGGAACCTTTTTATGCTTGAATTGTTGTACAAAGCATTCTGTTGAATAAGGCTTATACGCCTCTGCCTTTGTCTACTCTGAAGACATTTGTGGGGCAAACTATAATTGCGTAATTTACAACTAAAACTTCGTAAAACTAAGGTACTTACATGTATTCGAAATATACGTATCGCCCATTAAGACTTCTTTGAGCGACGCGCGCAACGCGCATACCGCACAACTTTGCCCGGTTGCTAGTATAGGCGAGGCAAAACGTTATAAGTAAAATTACACTATCGGCTGCTGCACAAGCTTTTTTTGTAGGATTGTAGGATAGTGTAAAATTACACTATCCTACAATCCGAGCCCATCAGAGGTCTGCTTTCTGACATCACCACAATCCCTGCAAAAGAAGCAGACGAACTTGCGCTCCGCAATCAAGACGACCGCGAGACTACATCCTAACATATTAGATCTTCATACTGTGTATTGGCAGATACTTTACATATGTATTCAATGATAAATGAATGTGTATACATGCTATTGAAGAATAAGACAACATTGACGATGTTTGGTCACATTACTCGATTGCCATGACCTATAATCTTACGCCTTACACCCAATTTATTCTGATAATTGATCGGCGTCGCCGTCCTCATGGCACGTCTATTATCAAATTCAAATTATGTCCGGCAGCAATCAAAACTACGATTTGGCCGACGCAATCGAGCGGCGCGATAATTGCGTCGTCATGGCGCGCGTCGTTTTGTGCGTTTGCTGCTGCAGTCTAAACTAATCCCGCAGAGTAAAGAAAAAAATGCCCATGATCACGTAACGTTCACTGTTTGTGATTGGGTGATATTCACCGCATTTGGCGGGAGTTAACACCATGAGGGCGCCGCTA